TTTCACGGGGGGGGGGGGAAAGTCCTCACATTCATTGGAGCAGTGCCGGAACCACTCATCATCAGTGGCATTCTCGTTCTCCATGTTGAGGATGCACTTCTGCGTGAGCATCCCCATGTAGAGCTGGAGACCCAGCAGGGCAAAGACGGACAGGGAGAACATGGTGAGGATGATCACGTCGCGCAGGTTCTTCACGGACTCGATCACCGCTCCGACGATGGTCTTCAGGCCTGGGGGATGGTAATTATATATATTACATATATATATATAGCTTGTATGATCGGGGAAAATATTCCCGAATCGATGGATGAAATTTCTTAAAGAAATATTATTTTTTCCAAAATATCTCTTCGAACATATGAGTTTTAAAAAAAATTGGAAATTGAAGGTTTTCGTCCTATTGTACATCTAAGTAAAATGGTGCCAGAAGATATGTTTTCTCGATGAGACCTTTTAGAAAGCATGTAGAAAACATATGTCCATCGTTGTACATCGCTGAGGGATGAGATGAGGCATTTATGGGCATTCTACTTCGTCTTCTCAAAATCAAAATATTAATATTTACATTACGGATAATTTTCATTAAATTATATTTCCAGAAATAATTTTTTGTAATAAATCACTACCCATAAAAAAATACTACTGTCTATTCCAAAAAGATTTGGTTTTGCAGATTCAGTATGATTGGCATCTTGCCAGTTGACATAGAAAAAGATGAATTAAAGAAAATGGAACAGACCAGGAACGATGGCGACGGTCTTGAGGGCCCTGAGCACCCGGAAGGTCCTCAAAGCGGCGAGGTTCCCCAGGTCCACCCCCATCGTCAGGTATCTGCGCACCGTGGAAACCGACCTCAAACATCCGAGCGGGGGACTCGGTCCCTTCGATTGGCCCTAACCCGTCCTCGAATGTCCTTGAATGTTTTTTGCGCCTTCCGAAACAAACTTACTACAATTTCTAAAAAATTTCACTACGGCAACTGACTCAATGGGCTAATAATACACTTTACTCACTAATAATACACTTTACTCACTAAGAATACATTTTACTCACTAAGAATACACTTTACTCACTAAGAATATACTTTACTCACTGAGTTTATACTTTACTAAGAACACACTTTACTTTCCAAGAATATACTTTACTCTACCAAACTCAATCATTGCGGCTAGATCCCTCGGTCTAATCAGCTCGTTCTACCGCGAAAATTTCATCAGGAGGAGGAAATACCAAAGGCGAGTAAAGGTCATGGCGGTTCGGCCTGCCTCTGTGACTCGAGGGATGAAAGAAACTTCGAATGCGTCTAATGCTTGGTTCAAACTGAAATTTATATTTACATGAAAATTAAAAAATTAAATTCGTACTAATTGCTCTTTTAAAGGAGATTTTTCAGCGTGAACCAAGCTAAGACTATGCTCAATGCTAAGACTAAGACTGCATCTAGGACTGTGGCCCGCGTGCAGAAAAAATTGCAGCTAGGAAACAACCAAGGGGGCAGACCCCTGAATGTTCCCGTGCCAAATTTTGCCAGAACTTGCACGAAATTCGAAATATCTGCCGAAACCATTTTCTGCACCAGGGGACCACAACTACGGCACTATGACCAAACTATGACTATGGTGATCATGACTCTACGACTCACGCTAAGGCTATGACAATGAAATCCAACCAATTCCAGGCGTCTCTGAGATACGTGAACTTCTGCAAGATAAACCCTCTAGCCGTTACTTTGATTGCACTCTCAAACGTATAGATGGACGTGAAGATCACTCTGCGAGGGGGGAAAGAGAAGAAAGCACGAGAGAATGACCACACGACATACACTCCTGGCCGGGTCGGCCACAAATCACAATTGCTACACTACAAACATCTACTGGAGATACTCCAGCTACAACAGAATGTGATTACTAATATTACATGATTACTAATATTACATGATTACTAATATTACATGATTACTAAATATTACATGATTACTAATGCAACATGATTACTAATATTATCACTAAAAATGAAACAACTATGACGGAAGGTTTTTTTCGCAGTCGACTAGTGATACAATGCGTTGCAAATGCCATTTTGTAACAGCACGCTAAGCTCGTATTTGCTGCACTTTTGCGCGATTGAAAGGGGGAAAAGGACTCGGAAATGCTTTTAGCGCGGATCCGACGGCCTCGACGCTCAAGGGCGAGATAATCCCGTCCGAGATTATTCCGCGAGGGATCGCGTGCCCCACGACGGACTGTCAGCGAAATCCGGGCATTTCTCGCCCGTCGCACTTGGCCATTAATGGACCTGTAGCTCCCGTAATGGACCTGTGACTGACGGGGACCCGATGCCCGCACGAACTTCTCCGATATCTCCTCCGATTTCAGCTTATCTCTGGATTTTAGCAGGCAAGATCTGTCTCCTACTCTCGGTTCAAACCTGTGATTTACGCTTAGTATTTAGTTAACAAATTAATTAACTAAATACTAAGTAGTTAAATGCTTGCCCAATCGTGAAATACCCTTTCCCTTTTTGTGTAACGTGCTTACACAGAACTTGTAATGTCACCAAAAACCTTATCAGTGCTGCCCGATTCGTGATTCGTTACCTAAGTAAATTCTGCTTAATTCTTGCTTAAGTAATTTGATTTAATTATTGATTAAGTGAGACCCTCAAGAATAAAGATCTGTTGATCGCTGAAACAAGTTTAACAATCGGGTTAGTAGTTCCTTCTTCGCTAATTAATACGGAGATTACCACGAAGATTAATCAAGATTAATCAGTTTAGCCGCTCAATCAGCAGCTGAAATCGCTAATCAACGAAAATTTGGCTGAAAATTGCAGGCGTAACCGGAAGTGGACCAGCTGATCGACCAGTTTAACAAGTCGAGAGGCAACCGAAAAATGCTAAAAACTTCAAATCCGCGAGCAGCTCAAGTTTCAAGGATCAGAACTCGCTGAATGTCACAATTTCAAGGATCAGATCTCGCTGAATGTCACAATTTCAAGGATCAGATCTCGCTGAATGTCACAATCTTCAGAATGTCCATCGGTGATCGCATCCCCAAAGAATAGACGAACATTGCGTGACTGATGTTTGTTTCTCCCATATTTTTTTATTCGTGTTTGAAGGAAATTTGGTTCAGTTTGAGGTAATTCTATATCGGGGAATATGCGCAGCCTGCAGTGCGGGCAGTTAGGACTGACCTCGAGGTCGGGCGGGCAAGGAGTTGGCACGGATATTCA